ATATAATTTTTAATAGTTATTGCCATTAGTTATTGTTGCTTGTCCAAAGCAACTTGCTTGTCCAGCCCATTATGAGTAACAGTTTCTCTAACTTAAAAATGCCACCTGATGCAACAATTTGGAATATTTATTGGTACAAGTTATTTACTTGTATTTGCTCTTAGCGGGAACATAATCCAATTACAGGCAAACCAGAGGCAGATCAACCATAACTGGGGAAATGTTGCTATCCCTGTGCTGTTTATATTGAGTCTCACCCATAAACAAACTCATCTACTCAGTCGATCAACCAAGCTACTTTCAAACAAGCCAAAGGAAAAATCTTGTCACGAAATAGTAAAGGCTAGACTACAGTGCAGGTGTCTTATGGTGCAAGTTAACCTTATAAGCTTGCGATTGTTTATTCAACTGGCATTGATTGATTTAGAGTTAGTGTGGACCTTAGGAGAAGGTGACAGGGAATGGCAAAAAGATGCCACAACATGTTATTTTTGAAATTTAGAAGCTCTGAAATGCTATATTATGCATTCTTTTGGAGGTATATGCAAAAGCAATTTGGTGGTTGGTTGGCTTGGTATAAACATTAGTAAGGTAGAGATTGGAAGAGTGTTTAACTCACAAGAAAATTTAAAAAGAGAGTTGTCTGTGCGGTGACTTGTTTTCATGTTTTTAATAGTGGACATGAAAAAATTACGCTCTTAATTCTGAGTGGCTGAAAACAAGTGCGCACACTTGCAAAATTTTGTCTGTCTTGATTTGATTTCTGTGATATTTTTCCATGTACATTATTAACAAGTAATTACATGATTTCTTTTGCAATTTTGTGTAATAAGCACTTGAAAGACTACATATTTCACTTTACCCTATAGGCTTGTGCAATTTTTTAGTTGAAAAATTTACTTGTGCTTGTGTACAACAAATGTCCCTTTAAATCCTTTTATTACCTTTACTTATTGTTTACTGTTCACAACTTACACATGTTATTTTATGAAAAGGAGGCTGTTCAGAAATTGAGGTAGCTGATTATTAACTAGCAGCTAGGACTTAATGAGAACCCTGCATTTGTTCAGTGTGAAGATGTAAATGAAAAATATGATGTGGGTTATTTAGCAGTGGATTTCTTTTGTTACCAGGATGACCTTGCTTTGCCAGTTAAAGTTCTACGTGGTCATTTAGGTAGGAAAGTAGAATGAAATAGTTGTCCTTTAACAGTTGATTAATTGTTTTTATACACCCTAACATTAGCATGCATATTCTCCTTACTGTTCTATATACATTTCCCATGGTAATGATAAAGAGAATTTTGTAAAAAATCAACAGCTTTTCAAAATGTGATCATTTCTGTAATTCTCATTAGCCTGATGTTTAATTCAGCAGCAATAATTTAATGAGAAATTAAGTGCTAGTCAGCCCGTGGGTTAAAGAGTTAATGCCATTCGGAAGAGTGGATTTCAGATTTTTTTTTATTTTGTATGTATGTGTATGTGTGTTACCGTATGTACTTGTTCTTTTCACACAGGTAAACTGGTGCTGAAGATACCCTGGAAGAATTTGTACTCAGAACCTGTTGTTGCTCAAGTAGATGGACTTTACTTACTTGTCAGACCAAGTACTGGTGAGAACTGTTTTCACTGAAGAAATGCTCTTGACACATTTGTCTGGTATTTTAGTGGTAGTCACAGGGTGCTATAATCATTGTTGCTACCATATTTATTTAACAATCATGTTCATGTTGATGTTCATAATCAGGATCATTGCCATCACCTTTGCCATTATCATTGCCTTTGCCAATGCCTTTACTTTTGTCTGTGCCTTTGACTTGTCATTATCATTGCCATTGCCATTGCCATTGGCTATGCCTATGCCTTTACTTTTTTCTACGCCTTTGACTTTTCCTCATCATTATCATTGCTACTGCCATTGCTGTTGCCATTGTCCTTGTCTTTGTCATTATCATTATCACTACCTTCATCATCATTGTTATTAACCTAATCTTCATGATAACGACTACTGTTATCACTATCACTTATCATGATAATTTTCCTCAAGTTATTTTTTCACATTTGGCCCAACACTTACAGTGTTTTTGAGTGTCACTAAATCTGTTAGTAGATAGTGTGGTACACCAGCCTTTTTGGTTTGTGGCAATCTTAAGGGATAAGTCAAATTTTAGCCATACATTTTTCAACTGAATGCTACAGTCATCAATTGAGTAATAGGTACCATGGAAACAAACTATTCACTTTTGGCTGTCTATGTCAAGAAAAGATCTGTGTGTGATGGACTCTCCAGTAATGCCTGTACCTACCTCTCTGGACATTAGAGTTATGCCCAGAGAATTGACACTGTAAATGAGTAATGTGTTTGTTGCTCCTGCAGATGTTAAGTACAATGCTGAGAAAGAGGAAAAAGCCAAACAGGAGAGAAAGCAAAGACAGCTGGAAGCAGTGGAGCTCACTTGGCAGATTGAAGTGGAAAAGAAAAAGGAGAATGGTATACCCTAATAATCTATCTGTTTTTAGTGGTTAGGCTCTCTAAAAAAATTGCCTACTTGTTTGTTGTCAGGTCTCTTTCCGGTTGATAATCTTTTACTCTTGTTTGTCTCATCATCTGACCATCAATCTACCTATACATCTGCCTCTGTGCTTCAAACTGCTACTGTTTTGGTAGCTGTGACATCTAGAGAAAGTTTTTGTTTGAGTCTCCAAAAATGAATGCTAGCTATGCCACTTACTTCAACCATGAGGCACATTGTCAGAGGTTTAGTTTTTTATAATGTTAGGTTGCCAGAAGATGACTTCAAAAGAAAACTTGGCCAAGAGCCCTGCATAGTGTTGGATATTAACATTGTCACACAAATTACTGCAGATGGCTTTGATTGACTGTCTCTGTCAATGACT